CACACTGATACCCTCATTGCCCAGCCTCACACCATCTCTGTTGTTTCCTCCTGCACTCTAAAAGGGACTTTGGTGCAGCAGGTACCTTCCACAGCTCGAGCCCCACAGCTATGGGAGGTGCCATTAGTGGGGCTTTATTTTGTCCTGTTATTTACAAGGTAGATCCAGCAYTGCAGTTTTTTCTCCCACAGTTTAAAATATATTTAATTGCTTAGTCAGAAACCAAGCAAACACACGGCCCTGTTGTCCATGTGTCCCAATGCCATCCTCACTGCTCATGGAAGGGTGGAGAGGGACCAGGTTGCTCCAGCACAGGGGAGCTGAGCTGTGGGTCCCCCTCAGCTGCTGCATCTGCAGGAGTGGCCCCAGGCAGCCCTGAGCCTCCCCAGAGCTCCAGCGTGCTCAGAACTCTGTGACACCGCACCCAGCACTGGCCACTACCCATGGCAGGGCAGCTCCTGCTGGGAAATGCCCTGAGGTTCCAGCTSAGAAACAAGCAGTGCTCACAGCAAATGCTCTGTCACCAACCCTGCTGTGTTCTGAACATGGCCAATGTGCCAGTGATGCTCATACCAGAACCAAAACAACATTTCAAGTAAGAGCAAAAGTTCTGGACTGATACCAGGCATGGGTTTTTTTTTTTTTTTCCAGTCTGTAACCCCATTTAATTATTTCCATTATGACATTGCCTATTACAGTCTGAAAATATTTTACCTGTGTGCACATCAGCACACAGCGTTCATGCCTTTTAACTTCACTTTAAAGATAAAGAATACACTTTAAATGTGAAAAAAAGGTTGATGTAACCTCTTGTCATATACAGGAATGAGTTTGGGAACTGACAATTGGACACTCAGTTTTAAGTGCACAACATTTTTTTATTATCTCAGATTAATGCACAGTTGTGGTTTAATCTTTGGCCAAAGCTTTTACCTGCTATGATGTCATTCCTTTTTGCTCCCTAACTTGTTAAATAAATACTTCATCCATACAAGTGACTTCAGCTGTCAAAAGGTGGGCAGATATTTTAAATACACCAGATAAGGATCTAGTGGAAATAATTGCGTACTTTTATGTTAACAGGATGAAAAACACTCTGAGAGCAGATCAGATCAAGATGTACTAAAGGAGCTGCAGTATGTACTAGTTTCTAGTTTGCATGTTCAGGAGACAGAAGGTTACCTCTATTGGCAGTGTCTGGTTTTTGGAACTGTTCTGAACACCATAAACATCAAAGAAGGATAATTAAAACACTTTATTTTAGTTTAACTTTGCCCCCCAAAGGACCYAGGCCTATATTGTTATATTGTTCTGTCAAGAGGGGGGTGAGGAATATTTTTAAAGAAAATTRTTCCAAAATACTTTAAATTAATCCATGATTGCTCTGTGCTTCTCTGCAAATGAGATGGCACTGACCAGTGGGATCCATCCCCATGGCACAGCAGTATCTCCACTGGAACAGCCACAGTGCTTCGGCAGGTGAGGATGGAGCAGGAACCCCCACACCTCTCAGCAGCTCTCCAAGCACTGCAGCAATGTACCCATTCAAAATCTTTTTGGGTTCTCCTTTTGTCCTAACAGTCAGAGAGCTGGCACAGACACATCTAGTGTTTGCTGCTGAGGTAGCTAGATGTTGATTATAGGAGAACAACACTTTCTACTATTATTTTCCCTATTGGTAGGAGTTCTGGCCTGTGGCTTCATGTTGTTCATGTGGGATATGTGCACCCCCAGCAGATGAGTGAAAAAGAGCAGATAAATGCTCACCTGAAGCTTCTGTCCTCTGTTCCAGGTGAGTGCAAGCCCCATGGCTGCTTCCCCAGGAGCTCCAGCCCCACAGGACTGGGAGCCACTTCTTAGCAGAGTCCCTCAKCTGCATGTTTGTCAGCTGCCAGGTGTGTGTGCTATCTCCCCTGGGAAGGACCTCTTTGAAAAACTTCCTCAAAGAGCACTTCGGAATTTCCAAAATTAATGTCCAAGGAGAAAGCTCTGCCCACTTTGGGGTGAAACAAAGCGAGGTGGAAAAATCACCGAGGTTCACATGGGTTTGTCTTTCTAAACTTACCAAACAGAGCTGCCAGCAGAAAGACAGCTCTCATTACTTAGCATGGGTTGAAGCTTGGGAGTCTTAAAAACGCCTCAGCAAAACGCAATACAGTACAGAAACATGTTTGGTGTTTAAAAATAGTCTCAGTTGTTAAAAGGGATTAATCATTTTTTTTCCTGTATCAGCAAATGGAGCAGTGCAGACAAAGTAAAAGGGTAACTCTGGGAATGAGGAAATACTGTTTAATCTAATTTGCTGCAGCCTGGGGTTAAACATTAACTCAGCTCTGAGCTCTGATGGGGTGTAAATAGCCTGAACAAAAACGCTGCTGCRCTTTCTTTTGAGGGCATGAACTCAGAGGTCTTCAAAGCTAAGTCTGAATGGTATTATAAAATACACCTGTCATTTTACTGAAGTGTTCACTGAAATGTTTACCTTTAGTGTAGATTGTTTTGAACACTGTGGAAATAAGCAAAAAAGGAGAATTTTATATTGCAYGTTTCCCAAAAGACTGTGAAAATATTTTAAAGGTATAAAACCAAATCACTGCAGACTTACCTTTAGGTTTGCATCTCAAAGGGTAACAAAGGTCTTAACATAAGATCCACAGTCCAGTAGATGCTACCTGCAGAGATCCCTGCCTTCTGTGTGCGGGGAGCTGGAGCCAGCCTCCCACAGGCTCTGGCCCAGAACGCGACTGATGCTCTTTGGGCATCTGGGGTGTGAAAAACGAGTTTCAYTCACCTGTTAAAATTTAAAAGGTTTTAATAAATGACAATAGAGTRCATAAAAGCAAAAGGATATGATGCCYRCCAGGTGCTTGGTGATCTGCCAGAGGCACACCTGCTATTGACAGGAGACATCTTTAAATACATTTTGTATTGCATCAGCTTAACCCCTACTCATAGGCATTTATGCATATTTAAACTTTTTCCAGGAACTGTTTAGCATGGCACCTCCTCCGGTGTAGCCCCCTGTTCTGTGGTTTCAGTAGATGACAGTTGTTGATAGGGAAGTGTCCATAGCAGGGCCCCTGGGCTGTCCATGAAGATAATCCCATCCGAAGGTTGGGGGTCCCACCAATTGGGCTCCTTTGCACAGCAGAGGATGGACATTCCACGAGCTCTGATCAGAGATGTTTCACTACACACGCCAAAGGATCTACTCCTTCCACCCCCACCCTCTCTCTGTCAGGGTCTGTGCTGGCCTGGCAGCTGATAGCCCTGGGGCAATGGCCTCCCCACCCCAAAGGTGCTAAGCACCTTTGTGAAGGTATACATCCTTTTCCCCAGCTCTGAGCTGCTTCTTATCTTTAAGTACCACTGCCACCAGGGCCTCATTCAGAGCTTTTTTGGTGACTATCTTCGCAGCTTTTGAATAGTTTTACTATAATATGAAAAATACCCTTTGTGGAAATGTTTAAGTGACAAGTCATAAGACTTCAGTTTAACCACAAGTATTCTATAACTATATCTGAGTTACAAAAGAAAAACAAACCCATCAGTGATGATTTTACCACTGTGTCTGCATAACTAAGCTACTTATGCAAAAAAGGCAACATTGTACACATAKCACTCATCTTMATATTTGCAAAAGCCAACACTATAATATGTGTCTAYAACATGGGATAGAGCAGGTTTCAGGCCATTCCTTCTCAGGGTCATCCTTGATCTTGATCTGTGTCAGAGACATAGACTTGTCTGCCCAGGAATGCRCACATCAAACCCAAAGGGAATTCATAAAAATGGAGGAAAAAATCTGAMATTTTCACTCATGATTATTTAGTTTATGTTTGTATAAACTATACAATATAAAGCACCTCCAGACCTGACATACATAAAATAACCAAAAATCATTGAAACACTTGTGAGCTGATGGAGAATGTGCCCTTKGGTATGTGACTGATAACTGCCTGACAGACAGAAAATGTCTGGTGTCCCTAAAGGCCCTATAGCCTATTTATTGCTGCATTTGCGGTCACATCAGACCGTCACACATCCCTGAAGAAGTTACGTGGCGTCTGGAAAAGTACTGACCAGTGTGTCCCCACCTTGRAGACCCAGGTGACACAGCACAGCCTCGGTACAACTCTCACAGGAATTTGTGTATGCCAGGGCCATACCTCTGCCTGCCAGCGAACTGGGAGATTGACAAAAGAAGG